GCTTTTCATCTAAACAACAAAAAGACTAGAGAAGAGTTGAAAGTGACATTCCAAGGAGTACAATTAAAGCACAACTTCACGCCGAAATACCTGGGAATAACATTGGATCGTACGCTCACATTTAAAGAACATCTTGTCAAAACTGGAAAGAAAGTACGATCCAGAGTCAATTTAATTCAAAAACTCGCCGGTACAGGATGAGGTGCTAGCGCTAAAACATTACAGACAGCAGCACTGGCGCTAACATACAGTGCAGCTGAATACGGTGCCCAAGTGTGGTGTAATAGTGCACACGTGAAAAAAGTTGACACACAATTGCATAGCGTAATGAGAGTGATCAGCGGCACGGTGAAGTCCACTCAGTTACAATGGCTACCAGTTTTAACCAATATAGCTCCACCAGACCTACGAAGAAAGCAGAAACTTATTAATACTATCAAGAAACCCGAAGATAGGAGGAACTCACTGCTAGCCGAAAGATTAGAAGATATACCAGCACTTAGACTAAAGTCAAGGAAACCGCCTTGGAAGACAGCTAAAGACCTAATAAGATCAGGATTTGAAACCAAAAAGTGCTGGTGCGATGAATGGACTAACTCTACTTTACCAATCAAAAACAAAAATCTGGTGATTGACCCCAATCAAGGAGTTATGGGTATGGAACTGCCTAGACATGAATGGTCTGTACTAAATCGTCTTCGAACAGGCCATGGCCGTTGCGCTGATATGATGTTTAAATAACGACTCCAAGACAGCCCAGCATGCGATTGCGGCAACGATAGACAAACCATAAATCACATAATAAAGGAATGCCAGATAAGGAAATTCAACCAGGGCATCGAAGGAATCCACGCGATAACACCGGAAGCAGTAAAGTGGATAAGGGAACTGGACGTACACCTGTAACCTGTAAACTGTAACGCATTGTTATGTCATATTATATTATATATTTATAAAACCTTAACCTTTCTAATCTAAATTTAATTAAATTATTCTTTATGTTTATATTTTATTTTATTATTTTATTGTTTAATTTTGCTGTAAATGATTTGTTAAGCCATACGAATAAAAAAAAAAAAAAAATTCTTAGTTTTATCAACACAATATTTAATCCTGGTTGTCTTCATATCTATCCGATCGCACTCAAATAGTTAAAATATTCAATACGAAGTCAAACCCACTACAAGTTTCATCTGTAGTTATTCAAGGAGGCCACTTATCCCCTTTCTTATTTTTAATATTTATCAGGGAGCGTGGTAAAAACCTCCAACTGGTACCCCTGGTAATAGAGTTTATAAATTTGTATACTTTATTATTATCCAAGGATACAAATAAAATTAATGATAAATCAAATTCTGGCCAATCTTACCACTCACAGTCAGCCAAAATGGCCTTTATCAAGGCTATGCTTGACGCTGGTGTCCCTTAACATCGAAGGACTCACACCGGAGAAAGAACAGTTCATTTCGGAAATCGTGAGGGAACATAGATGCGAAGTGCTGTATCTACAGAAGACACATAGAGGAATAGAATATAGAAAACCTAACAAAAAGGCATGATTCTCATCATCGAACGGCCGCACAAAAAATATGGAAGTACCCTTTTTGTGAAAGACAACACCCAAGTAAAATCTGCCTTCATGAGTTTTCAATGACATAGTAGAGATTCTCACCGCTGACATGGGAAAAAATCACGAAAACGTCAATGTATAAACCCCAGGAACATATTTCATTTTCACATTCATGCACTTTCTGAGATAATAGGACAAAGATTATAACTGGCGATTTTAAAAGTCATAGTGTAAACTGGAGGTATAATAAGATCAATGACAATGGAGATAAGGTGGAGAAATGGGCCGAAGCAAATGGTCTCTCTTTTATCTTTGATGCCAAGTTACTACAACAGTGGCCGTTGGAAACGAGGGTATAATCCAGGTAATATTTTCTCAAGCGAGAACATTGATACCCCCTATGTAAGAAATAAGTTCTGACCCCCCATACCTAAAACTCATCATCGACTTATTTCCTGCGAAATTAGTGCTATTATAAACCCAATAATTGTACCTTTCCAACGTCGCTTTAAATTCAAGAAGGACAACTGGAAGGAGTTTTCAATGGCACTTGACAAGGCAATAAAACAAATTCAGCTCACTCCTCAACAGTACAAGTTTTTCATTGTTAAGAAAATATCGAGGACGTACATCTCTAGAGGCTTCCGTACAAAATACATTCTAGGAATAAAGAACATTACAAACAAGTTGCTCAAGTATAGAGAGAGCTTCAAAAATCAACCTTTCGAGCCAGAGACTGACGCCCTGGGGGAAGAGTTAATGGAAGACATATCAAACGAAAGGAAGAAAGTATGGCAGAAAACACTGGAAGAAATTGACATTAAACAAAAAACAGCAGTAAAGCATGGAGACTCATTCGGAAACTAAACTGTGAAAAACGAACGGAACACCAATACACAAACATCTAGTCATCACTAGCCCATCAAATCCTCATAAGCGGGAAAGCTAAGAGGTAAACAGAATCACAAAATAACCAGGGTCACACAGCAACTAGAAAATAACTGCATGGAAGAACCTTTAAATCAAGATAAGTTAATCAATGCAATTAAAAAGATAAAATCAGGAAAAGCAGCCGGACCCAACGATATACGTACCGAAACGCTGAAGAATTTTGGACCCGCAACCCTTAAATGGCTACTCCGGTTCTACATAGAATATACGAAACAGATGCGGATACCAAATACTTGGCAAAAATCCCAAATAATAGCCATATTGAAACCGGGGAAACCACCCAACGAAGCAAAAAAACTACAGACCATTTGCATTTTTGTCCCACATCTATAAGGTTTACAAACGACTTATACTGAACAGAATAACGGAGGAAATAAAACTGATAAAGGAACAGGCTGGTTTTAGACAAGGTAAATGCTGCAAAGGACAAGTCCTATATCTCACACAGCACATCGAGGACGGGTTTAAAGATAACAAAATAACGGAAGCCGTTTTCCTGGATCTGAGCTCCGCTTACGATACGGTTAACCACAAGCGAATAAAGTACATAATCTATAACGTTACAGACTCGCATGCATGGTAGACGTGCTTTTAAGCAACTGACGCTTCTATGTGAGCCTCATGGGAAAACGCAGAAGATGACGAAAGCAACGCAATGACCTGCCGCAAGGAAGTGCGCTAGCCCCGACTCTGTTCAATATCTATGCCAACGATCAGCCAATAAGCCTTAACACCACACTTCCTATACGCAGATAACGTAGCTATAACCGCACAATATACAAGCTTTAAAAAACTCGAAGAATACATCACAAAATCTTTGGAAGATTTGTCCATATATTACGCAGTAAATCAACTTAAACCCAATCCTAACAAGACGCAATCGTGCGCTTTTTATCTAAAAAACCGACAGGCAAAACATTAATTTCAAATTAGATGGAAGTTATCATAAACCACGCTCCGCATCCCAAATACCTCGGAATGACCATAGATAGATCGTTCACTTACAGGGAAAGCAAAAGTAAATACAAGGAATAACTTACTTAAGAAACTAATCCACACAAATTGGAGGGCAGATTCCACAACCCTCAGAACAACGGCCCTAGCACTTTACTGCTCAGCTGCAGAATACGCCTGCCCTGTCTGGATGTCATCAACTCGTGCTAAGAAAGTATATGAGACAGTAAATGAAAACTGTAGAATATATTACTGGCTGTCTAAAAGCGACTAACATCAACAAATTATATACTCTTGGTGGTATAGCTCCACCAGGGTTCAGACGACAAGTAACAGTTGGAGAGAAAGAAATGCAACGCCGAAAGAAAACATCCTTTGTACGGCTACATACCACGAAATAACAGACTTAAGTCAAGTCACAGTTTCCTACACAGCACTACAGGGACCCTGCAACGAAGGCTGATGAACGCATATTAAAATGGAAAGATAGATATAAAACGGACGACCCTATATGGATTAGAATCTCAGAAAGCCTCTCACTGGTTAGAGGCCTGAAGTATGGACTCTGGAAAACTTTAAACCGCTTAAGAGTAGAAGTAGGGAGAACAAAAAAGAACCTTAGTTGCGGTTTGTCAATGAGGTTTGACTAATACAAATTGTGAAAGAGACGACCTTTACAAAGAACCAACTTATGAAGTAATAAAACTGATCCAATATTGGCTCAAAAAAAGGAATTTAATACAGCTGACTGACACGAAGAATATTTATTTATTAAATATTTATTTATTAATGATATTTATACAGTATTTAAACATAGTCAATTCTTGTTATTCGCAGACGATATAAAAATATATTTTACAGTTAACCACATAAATGATTGTTTAAAACTGCAACAAAAAACCTTGATGATTTGATTGCTATCGTCGAGAAACAATGTAAAATACACAATAACTAATTGACGTAACTACGATTGGTAATTTTTATATAAGCTATTAAATGGATTGATTAATTACCCAGAGGTCTTAAATCTTATTGGAATTAGGGACCCTCCAGTAAACACTAGAAATAAAGCCTTATTTCATATTGCACCAGAGGAACGTAATTTTGCTCATAGTCCCGTCAATATAATTTTACATTACACTAATGAACACTTATCTAACTTAAATTTTTTTTTATGACAACAGTTGTAAGTTAAAAAAAAATTATTAGATACCTATTAGCTTTTATTTTGTATATTATTTCTATGTATTATGTATCTATTGTACTCTTTGCCCTCGAGGACGTTATCTATAAATAAATATAAATATATTATAGGTTTAAGCATATACCATAAGCTTTGAATCTTAATACATTAGTGCCCTAAGACATAAAAAGTAAACTATAAAAAATAGATGAATATTTGGGTAAATTAAATTCTAAGAATTTAAGAATCTCAAAAACTATTATATTAAAAATTGTAAAAATATAATTACTTTTTTAACTTATTACATCAAAGTTTAATTAACTATAATGTTTTTTCACTTACTTGAATCATCAATAAGAAAACCATCTTTTGGATTAACAGGTTCGTGATCATTCAGTTTCATTTGTAATACAGAAGTAGTAACCTCTTCATGAGAATGCTTTTTTTTCTATTAAATTTAAAGAACATTTTAACGATTTTATAAAAATTGATGGTATTATAAATATACAGGATCTAATAAAGACATAAGATAAATTTCAAAACAAATGTTATATTGAAGTCAGAATTTTCAATCAATTGGTAATCCTGCATAAATATATGTAAATATATGTTACGGCTAGTGTTAGAAGTATGGCTAATTTTCAGTTTAGCCACTGTGTTTGGCTAATATTTAAATTTCGGCCTTAATCCACCATTATTTAACATTATCCAGATGCATATGGCTAATGACTAAATAACATTATCCATACAAATAATTAAACTGTTTAAGTTATACAAAATTTCTTTCATTTCTTCTCTTATTCAATAATATTATATTATCAATCTTATTTAATAATATCATAGATTATGGAATAATTTTAATAATAATAGAGCAGAATTATTATTAAGAATTATTTAGTCAATGATAATATGTACTTATTTTTATTATATAGATTTACAGCCACTTTTCATGACAATGGTAATGTAACTCATGGATGGTATGACTATTTTTACTCAAGTCTAAAGACTGTTGAATACTTTTCCCGAGAACGGTTGGACCCTTATCAATAGATAATTCTTCAAAATTTTTATTTTTATATTTTTTTAAATTCCATGAACTTATATCAAATGAGATATTTTACAAAAGTATTTTTCTGGTCTTGAAAAAACAAAATTAACTTAATTAGAATAAACGAAAAAATAATACATTAATTTCAAATTAATTTGTAAGGAAATAAGGTAAGTGAATTTATTAATAATGAAATAATTTGAGTTAATAAGTTAATTTAACTTAAGTTTTACTTAACTATTCACTTATTAACTCCCAGGCTTGAAGATATACATACAAAGTACTACAATCTGGTATCTTAACTAATTACAAACTTGAGTCGGTAATTACGGTAGATTATTACGGATTGTCTTTATCGAGCACACAATATTATATGCAACCGCATGCATATCAATTTTGCAATCAATATTAATTTTAAAATAATATAAAAATGCACATAACTATGTACGATATTTATATTATTGAAAATATTATACTTTCTACGTACACAGCTCACCTCTATACAACTACCCAACATATATTATATTATTAAATATTCATTAAGAATTAAAATTTCAAAATGTTGTATTATTATTGTAAATAGTTTTAAATTTTTAGTTTACCTATGGCTAATGTTAACAGTCATTAGCCGATAACAGTTGGATAATGTTGGTTTTATTGGCTAGTGTTAAGATTATCCATTTGTTTTTGTTAGCTGAAGTCCGAAATTTTGACATTAGCCAAAAGCATTGTCTAAACTTAAAATTAGCTGGCTAATCTTAATGTTAGCAAACCTTCGAACACTGGCCATAACATATATTTATATATAGAGTATACAATTTATCTAAATAGTCTCAATAACTCAAGATATAATAATTTTAAAATAAGAAGCAAAATATAATTTATAATTAACTAAAAGCACACATTATTTGTCAAGTGCAAATTAAAAAAAAAAAAAAAAAATAATATGTTTATACAAATAATTTATACTTTTTAAATAAATCCTAATTTAAAATATAAGGTAACATAATACAGTATAAAGTTTATATGATGGTCTAGTCCTAGTTGTACATGTAAATGTAATGATATGTTTAATGAAAATTTATTGTTATGACATAATTATAAAAAAAATTAAAAAAAAAAAAAAAAAAAAAAAAACTATTAGAACACAAACCAAAATTGGGCTATTCTTAATTTTTATTCAGGAGCTAACTTTCATTTTCCAGTAAAAAGTTATATGTAACTACCACACTAAACTACCAATATTATAATAATTATTATATTACCGTCTATAGAATGTTTTTCACTGTTTGAATTTATCTCAGAACATGATTCTTCAACTATACTTAAAAGTGAAGTGTACAGAGTATTATATTTTTTAATTTTAAAGATTTTTTGCACTTCACAACCTAAAATATATATATTAAATTTAAAATTATTTTTAACGGGTAATCAAACTTTTAATAATTTATTCATTTATTTATTAAATAAAAGTATAAATCATAAATAAATTATATTTTTGAGGTTTTTTTTTCTTTTTACTTTAAAATATAGTTTGACAAATAAAAATGGTGATAAATATAACATTTTCTTACTTGAATTAGTACTAATAAAACCATCTATTTTTATATTATCTGGCTGGTTATTGAATTTTGAATGTTCTTCTGTTTTTAAAGTTATTGCCACTTTTTCAAAATGATTGCTCTCTACAAAACACAAATATTTTCACTGTAAATATTTTAAATTCATAATACTTATATCGTAAATTTGCAACAAGCTTACTTGATATATTATCAACCAAGTTATTAGAATGTTGTAGATTATCCAAAAATTGTAAGTTATCTTCTTTGTTGGAAGTTGTTGCTTCTTCATACTCCACTAAAAACAAATAATATTTAATAACAAATAAATTATAAATACTTATTTTATATGTTTGTCGGTTCAAATACAATTTTAAATTGACATTTAAATTGTTTTTTAAATGTAGAACATACCATTTGAAATATTTGTTTCATTGCTTGATTTCATCTCAGAATACATGATTTCAGAGGTAGTTTTCACATTAAGTATGTTTTCATTTTGATTTATTTCATTCAATGTAAGACAATTTTCTTTATTCACTAAAAAACATAAGCAACAAATTAAAAAATAAGAATATTTAAATAATAATAATAAAAATATTTGATTCGTACTTGCTGGTTCATTTTTCTTTAATAGTACTATTTATATTACAATTAAAAATAATGAATAAAAGGCAATTAAAGGTCTTTTAACATACCATTTAAAATATTTGTTTCATTGCTTGATTTCATATCAGTATTCATGATTTCAGATGTAGTTTCCACATTAAGTATATTTTC